ATATGCATTTTTACAGATTTGGATGCTCTAGATCATTTGTGATCTACGTAAGACATGGGTAATGTCTGTAATAGGGGGTGACTTCAAATTAAGGGAGAGAAGGGAGAAAAAGCCTGTGGCAATCGGAAAGTTTAGCGTGTCTTGTGATGAAGGACCATGGGAAGTATCAGTTGATAAAGATGCCTTGCGTTACAGCTCTCGGAACACTTTGAATTAAAACGTAGGTGTAAAAAAATCTAAACGTTGTGTGTCAACCATCAATAAAAAACAAAACCAAACAAAAACTTCTAAACAACCCTCTGAGGTAAGCAAGTAACGTCGCATTCCTTAAGAAGAAATGGAGGTTGACAGGAGTGAAATGACCCACCCAAGGATGCCTGATATGCTAATGAGCTGGAGCCAGAATTCAGGTCCTCCTCTCAGATTCCTTCTGCCCCAAGCACCTGTCTCTGAGCTTTGCTAGCCAAAGAGGACCATCAAATCGCCTGAAAATGGCCTTCAAGTGGTGTGACCATATAATTCATCATATAAACCAGAACACTTGAGAATAAAAGGGACCACTCAGTAATCACAGGGAACAACAGGGATAAACTGGGATTGTGTCACTCAAACTGGGAGGTATGGTCACCCTGTACCCTACCTTTATATACTATCCTGATTTTCACATTAAACAGCATGATTTAAGAGTTTGTGCTCTGTTTACCCTTTCTGATTCAGAGACAATCTGTCTAGCTGGATTCAGTAACTGATCTGAGCTTCCTAAAATTTTTTAACTTGTGTTGTTTATGCACAAAAAATAAGGAAGGTTCCCTCTTCTACCAAGCCCCTACTCCCACTCCGCCCCCAAATAAACTCCCCCCCCCCCACCTTGGGCAGATCAAAGCCAGCAAGTTTCTGAAGACTGTCCAAGTAGGATTATCTGATGTGTATTTCCCAACCCCGTCTTCTGGACTCCCTCTTCTTCCTTGACAGCAGACCAGTCATGAAATCCTGCCCATTTTATCTCAAGGGTTCCCAGCCAACATCTACAGTTTTCTCCACCCCCGGAGCCACTACCAACCATCTTCATCCCCATCTGCCTCCTCACACAGATTGGTCCCTCCTTTTAGTTGCCTCTAATCTCTCTCCACACGGCAGCCTGAGTGATCCTTCCAAAACACTCTCATAGCCCTCCTGTTTTCAAAACCTGGCAGAGCTTCTTTTCCCCACCTGTCCTCTTCTTCCTGCACAGAGGCACCAACATGCCCCTTGCCCAGGGAGACAGTGATGAGGTCATGGAGGGTGCAGTGAGACGGAGAGCAGCCGCTGACCAGTTCCTTATTGTCCTCTTAAATATCAGATGAAAGGAACTTAATTTCTGGAAGCTTCCACACTAAACGTGTCAAGACGCTTATATTTGGTTAGTGATTTACCTCCTCTAATGAACTGTAGTCAACATGAAAGCAGAGGTCCCCTCAGTGCCTAGCACCATCCCTGACATAGAATAAAAGCTCAAAACTTGGTTATTGAAAGAATAAATGAGTGGTACCTGGGTGGCTCAGTCGGTTAAGCGTCCGACTTTGGCTCAGGTCCTGGTCTCACGGTTTGTAAGTTTAAGCCCCACATGGGACTCTCTCCTGTCAGCACAGAGCCTGCTTCAGATCCTCTGTCCCCGTGCCCCCCGCCCCTCCCCCACTTGTGGCCCCTCTCTCTCTCTCTCTCT